TGGGATGCAATCTCGCAATCAGCGTGCATTCAGCCACAAACGCCCTTTTCTAGAATCACATGTTGAACATTAATATGGAACCCTTCCGAATTAATATTAGCGTCATGTCACCTACCTCAGTCACAAACATTTATATAATTTATTTACTATACATGCATTTTCGTTTGCTCAGTCTTTTAATTTTTCTTATAGTCCTTTGCGTACTTCTTTCCAGTATCTTAGGTTAATTTACCATATTGTACCTCCAGTTTGACCTACCTGATATCGGTTCGTCCAGATAACCAGTTCGGTTCAGTCCGTGTTTTATGAGGCTTACTGTTTATTTATTTTGGGTACATACTACGTATGGTCTGGCTTGTCCCGTGTTTTCTACATTTTTATCTTTCCAACCAAATTCGCACAAACACACATGATTTGCTACGGGAATTCATCAAAACTTCTTATTTCAATCAAAGCATGTTTGTGTTGGACAGAGATTGGAGAAAGACGGGAATTTGGACCTGAGATCGTGGAAGAGACCACGAAGGTGATTCATAAGATTCGGGTCAACCTGAAAACAACGTAGGATCGATAAAAATCATATGTCGACTAGAGGAGAGGGGACTTTACACTTGAAGTTGGGGATTAAGCATTCCTCCGAGTTCAGGCCATGCGAGGGCACACTAGGTTTGGTCAAGGCAGCAAGATGAAGCCGCAATATATCGGACCTTACCCAGTGATTGGGAAGGTAGGCGCAGTAGCATATCGTCTTGGGTTGCCGTCAGAGATGAGTAACATCCACGATGTGTTCCACGTGTCGATGTTACGGAGGTACGTGGCAGATCCTTTCCACATGTTACAGCCTCAGGAGTTAGAGTTCACGAATGCTATGCGTTTTCGGGATGAACCGCTACATATAATAGACCGGAAGGTTAAGAGGTTGAGGACAAAGGAAGTGTCGTTGGTGAAAATATTGTGGAGAAGCCAAGGGAACCCGAGGAAGAGATGCGTAATAACTACCGCCATCTGTTTACTTGAGTGTTGTACGAACTCTTGTGCACAACGTTTTAGGATTGTATCAAACTTGGCATTCGGATGATGTGATGATATGAAGGTGTTTTTCAGATCTTATTACATGCGAATAAGTTTAAGGGGACATCACGATACTTCGAATTCGAGGATGAATTCTTTTTAAGGGAGGAAGATTTGTAATACTCCGGATCCCAAAATAAATATTTAATTATTTTCGAGAATAAATAATTAAATAAATGCGTATAATAATTCGGAAATGGAAGTGAAAAAAATAATAATAAAATGGAAAAGAGTACGAAGCCGGAAAACGTAAAAAAAAAATCAACAAATAAGCGAAGAAGAATTTGAAATTTATCTTCAGTCCGGACCTGACCATGAACTGGTCAGTCGGACCAAGGTCGGATCGTCGGACCAAGACGAGGAGGAACGAATCGAAAAAATATAAAAAATTTTGGGAAAGTGAAGTTGGTCCGCCGGACCAAAATCTGGTCAGGGTCAGACCAACGTACTAAGCCCGTTAGATGGACCCAAGGAAAGAAGGGGGGATCGAAAGAAGAAAAGAGAAGGTTGGTCCGGGGCTGACCAGAAGTCAGTCCGCCGGACCAGACCCATTCCGAGAGAAAGTTCCACGTTTGGACCAAAGGAACGGACCGAGAGGAAGGAAGTGAGTGTGGTCTGGGGCTGACCAAATGTGGTCAGCCTGACCAGAACACACAATCGGACCGAAACGGGCATCGATGGACCAAAAACCTGATTTGGTCATCCGGTCCAGCGGACCAAGTTCTTGGTCCGGCGGACCGCAGTGCAAAATTCTGCCCAAAGTAACCACTTTCCCATGTGATTTTCTCGCGCCTAAGCGGCTCCACACGACAACCAAACGCACTAAACCAGTAAAATGCGACCCTAGCTTGTTTTTAGACCCCCCTTTTCATCCTACTCTTCCCCTTTATCCTTTATGACACCTCCAATCACCCAACTCCACCATTAGAGAAGAAAAATCTGGAAAAAAAGGAAGAGAGGAAAAGAGAGAGGGGGAGAAGAGAAAGAAGGAGAGAAGAGAGAAAGGAAGCTCGTGGAAGTAAGGAGGGACTGTCCTAGAAGGTCTCTAGGAGTTCATGACAGATAGAAAACCCAGAAACATCGCAGGGATACGGGTTTCGGGTGTCACAGAGTAAGTCCGTACCACCTCCCCGGGAGACCCCAATCTACCTGAATCTCAGGTATGTGTAATGCATCATCCTCGGGATAATTATATCTCAGAATCCGCTCCGTCGCTAGCGAAAACATTGGCGCGGTTACCAAGAGTCGTATTTTCCTCGTCACGCAATAGTTCCGACTACAATCGACTATCTACGCAAGTCATCGAGGTGCCCATAACCGTCCTATCGTTCAGACATTGGCGCGATTATATCATCGCCACATTCACAATCATATCCCATATGGGTGGCATCCGACCCAGATCGGATGGCCCGTAGATGGGATGCAATCTCGCAATCAGCGTGCATTCAGCCACAAACGCCCTTTTCTAGAATCACATGTTGAACATTAATATGGAACCCTTCCGAATTAATATTAGCGTCATGTCACCTACCTCAGTCACAAACATTTATATAATTTATTTACTATACATGCATTTTCGTTTGCTCAGTCTTTTAATTTTTCTTATAGTCCTTTGCGTACTTCTTTCCAGTATCTTAGGTTAATTTACCATATTGTACCTCCAGTTTGACCTACCTGATACCGGTTCGTCCAGATAACCAGTTCGGTTCAGTCCGTGTTTTATGAGGCTTACTGTTTATTTATTTTGGGTACACACTACGTATGGTCTGGCTTGTCCCGTGTTTTCTACATTTTTATCTTTCCAACCAAATTCGCACAAACACACATGATTTGCTACGGGAATTCATCAAAACTTCTTATTTCAATCAAAGCATGTTTGTGTTGGACAGAGATTGGAGAAAGACGGGAATTTGGACCTGAGATCGTGGAAGAGACCACGAAGGTGATTCATAAGATTCGGGTCAACCTGAAAACAACGTAGGACTGCTGGCCTGCTATCCAGAAAGCCATGTAGGCTCGGTGTGCCTCGCCAGTCGGGGGTATGAATAGTCGGAGTGAGCCAAGAAACTCTGCAGTCAACTGGCGGTATGTGTCCTCTCGCATATGTAGCAGGCTCTCCCAGTGTATCCCTTCGCATAGCTCGCGCACTGAGTCATAAAGCCCCAACCGACTAATCTCCGTGCTCGCGAACTTCGTGTTCCGGATGACTTGATAAAAGGCGCCAGCGCGCTCCTGCATCTACGGTGATGGTAGGAGGAATGGTGGTGTATTGTCCGGAACAGGTACGCTGGGAGTGTACTGGCTTAGCTCGATGATCGTGTTCTGGCCCGTCTCGAATTCTTCCAGCAGTGGTATATGATCGGTGTAGTCCGGATTGTGGCGGTTCCTGGTCTTCCTGGTGGCCATCTGAAACTCAAAGACAAGTAGAGTGAGCGCGGTCGAAGCCGCGGTGAAAACACGCAAAAACGCGCAAAGAGCTCAGAGGCTGGATCCGGTCCGTTTCCAGGTGGAATCAGTCCGGATCCAGGTTCGTCTTCTCCGTCAGAACTGGGTCTCGATCCGGTCCAGATCCAGTCTCTACGAACCCAGATCGAAAATCTCCGAAAAAAATCTGCAAAATCGGACAAAAATCGAGCATCCAAATGTATGGACAATGTGAATCTAACCTATTCTCATCATAATCAACCAATAAAACCCATCCAAAACCACGAAATCATCTCCACAATCAAATCTCCCTAAACCTCTCATGAACCCTAGCAACCCAAATCCGAAAATTACTCATAATAAAACAATGTTTGAGCCGTGAAATAGGTAGGGAAGCATACCTGAGCGTCGTATACGTGGAATCGGAGAGAGGAAGAGGTGAGAATGGGAAGGCCGAATCGAGAGAGAAAACCTAAGTGGGGAGAGAGGACTGAGTTCGGCCCCCTTAAGTGGAGTCGCGAGTTTGGATCTGGTCCGTTTCTAGGTGGAATCGGTCCGGATCCAGATGAACTTACCTGGCCCGTGTCTGAAGTGGATCCGGTCCGTTTCCAGGTGGAATCGGTCCGGATTCGGAGTGACTTACCTGACGGCGAATTTGGATCCGGTCCGATTCCAGGTGGAATCGGTCCGGATCCAGTGTCTGTGAATCTTCATCTTGTCCGTGCCTCTGAACCGACGATCACTCCCCGCCCTCCTACGGTACTCTGGGTTGTTATAGGCCCACCAGCTTCCGCCTGGTTCGTCCTCGAACCACTCCGTACTGGGAGAGTACCGGCTCTAATACCATCTGTAACGACTCGAGGCTGCAACGAATTGTCGAAACTGCCCTCACGCAGCAACCCGAGACCTTTCAGCGTGTTTTGTCCTCACTCGCACGCATACCGAGATACTTCCCAGTAGGTCACCCATCCTAAGATTGCTCCAGAGCCAGCACGCTTAACTTTGGAGTTCTCTTGGGATAGTCAACCAAAAGGTAGGTGCACCTTATTGCTATGAGTAGTCCAACTAATTCTTTTATGTTATCTCGCTCATCAGGTGTCGTAGGACACTGACTCTTGCAGAGAACTGTGCCACTGCTCATCGGTAAGGTTCCTGGCTCTGAAGCAATCTTAGGATGGGTGACCTACTGGGAAGTGTCTCGGTATGCGTGCGAGTGAGGACAAAACACGCTGAAAGGTCTCGGGTTACTGTGTGAGGGCAGTTTCGACAATTCGTTGCAGCCTCGAGTCGTTACAGATGGTATTAGAGCCGGTACTCTCCCAGTACGGAGTGGTTCGAGGACGAACCAGGCGGAAGCTGGTGGGCCTGTAACAACCCAGAGTACCGTAGGAGGGCGGGGAGTGATCGTCGGTTCAGAGGCACGGACAAGATGAAGATTCACAGACACTGGATCCGGACCGATTCCACCTGGAATCGGACCGGATCCAAATTCGCCGTCAGGTAAGTCACTCCGAATCCGGACCGATTCCACCTGGAAACGGACCGGATCCACTTCAGACACGGGCCAGGTAAGTTCATCTGGATCCGGACCGATTCC